GCGGCAGTCGCTGGTCGAACTCGCGGTCGAGCGGGCGTCTGGGGTCATAAGGGCGGGCGGGGGCGCAAGCAGGCAGAAGCATTGGACAGTGAGGGGCGGGAGGAGGCGGGGACCTGGGCAGCGCGCTCGGGAGATGTGAGGGCTGGGTGCACGGGTGTGCACTGCATGCTCGTGAATCGAGGGCGCCGTGACGTTACTACGTCCGCCTCCGAGACAACCGAATTCGGGGGCGTGCCGAAAGCCTCGCACGACGTGCGCCGCGTCGAGAGAGGAGAACCAGCGAGGAGGGAGGACGAGGAAGTGGAGAGGGGCCGTGGGCACGAGAAAGAGCAGGGAGCAGCGACAATGTTCTCGTGCGCCTCGCTCCGCACAGAATTGCAAAAAACCTGGATCGAACTACTGGGCTCGGGTGGATGCCCGGCGCCGCGCGCGGAGGCATGTGTGGTGAGTGGGGCGGAGGGGCAGGGGGCCGAGGGGGCGAACGGCGCGAGGAACGTGCCACTCATCTTGTCCACAGGCCTCACGTTGGCGCCGCCGCCGCTGTCGTCGAGGAGCCTGGGCCCAACATCGCTCAGCTTGAAGACCACCTCGAGGCCCACCTCGTCGCCGTAGCGGGAACGGGCGGAATCGCCGACCGCGACGCCCAGGGGCACGAGCTCCCCCGCGGCGTTCCACGCGCCCTCGGCGGCAGCGACCACCTCCCCCACCTCCGTCTCGGGCTTGGAGGCGCCCTTGGAGAGGAACAGGCCGCCCTCCGTCTGGCTCTCCTCCTCCTTCAGCTTCACGAGAACCATGCCCGGCGGGACCTTGATGGTCTCCAGGGAGGGCTCCTCGCCAGCCAAGCTGAGGAAGACGTCGCTGTCGCGCAGGAGGAGGTGCTCCTCGCCCTTGAGCTCCACCTTGCCCGGCCCCGCAGCCAGCACGGTACCCTCGCTAGGCTTGTTGGACGACGAGGTGGGCAGCAGGATGCCCCCCTTGGTCTTATCGACAGCGTCCTTGGGCTTGATCAGCAAGTAATCGGATATGGGCTCGAGACCTCCCTCCACCTCGAGGCTCGCCGCAGCAGCCGCCACCCTGGGGCCCGGCCGGTGCCGCAGCGGCCCGGCGCGCCTGCTGCCTGCGAGGGTGGCCCAGCCCAGGCCGCTGCCGCCGCCAGCTTCGGGGCCCGCTCGGCCAGAGGGCGCGGCGAGGCAGCAGACGGCCGCCAACGCCGCGGCGGCGGCGGGCGCGAGGCCGCCCGCGGCGCCGCGGCCGCGGCGTGCGCCCCCCGGCCCGCGCAATGGCGCCCGACCGCGCCCGGTGAGCCCGCGGACCGCGCCAGGGGCGGCGCCAGAGGGGGGGGCCGGGAGCCGAGGCCGTGTCCTTAAGTACGTTCGCCAAAACGTAGACCAACGCTGTCCGTTGTCTGGATTGTTCGTATTACGAGTATGATTCGTATGACTAGCAGCATTCGGATTCTTATTATCATTATTGTTATCATTTCAATGCGTCCCTTGGTCCCCCCTTTTCGGGCGACGGATTCTTTACATATCCACAGCTCCCTGGCCAGGCTCATCCTGAAGGAGCTGTGTATACGCCCTCCTGGCCAAGCCAGGAGGGCGTGTCGTATACACCGCTGCTGGGTTCAGGATGGGCCTGGCCAGGGAGCAGAGATTTCGTCGTCCTATCTCTTGGACGCCCCCCTCTTGGTCGCCCCCGAGCGGGTCCCCGGGGAAGAGTCCCGGGGTTCAGGGGGCCGTCTCTTGGAGCACGCGCTTGCCTCCTGCCAGCGCGGGGGGCGGCGAGCTGCGCCGGACCTTCTCTGTCAGACGTGCCGTGCAAGGGGGTGGGCGACAGGCGGCGAAGGCAGCGGCAGGGGCTCGTCCTCATCTTCCCCCAAGCCTGGTGTTCCTCCTTTACGGTCGGCACGAGGTATAAGTGCGAGGTCGGTCTGGGGAGGGTACTTTAATGTTTTTCCATTACCCTCGATGATCTAATGGTCTGGGGGGGTTTGGGCCGGCGGAGGGTCTCGTGTTCTTGAAAGATGTTATTTTTGTTCTGGGTCCAACCGTACCTCCTCCTCCTCTCGGCGACTCCGATCCCCGTCCACCTCCGCCTTCGCCTCCTCTACCTCCTTTTTCAACGACTCCGAGCCCACCTACGTTCTCCGCCTCCTCCCCTCCACCCCCAGACCCCTCAAATATTGCAGCTAGGGCACCGCCCATCTCCTGCTCCCATCCCGGGCGATCTGATCGATAACGACCGAGATATGCAGGGATCGGTAGTGAGATCGATCGTTGGGTCGGTAGTGAGGTCGATAGTGGGATCGGTAATTGCATCGATCGTGCGAACGACTGTGAGACCGATCGTGTGATGGTTAGTTGAGTCGGTAGTGCAGTCGAAAGCGATGTCGATACTGCGATCGATTGCGAGATCGACAGCGAGATCAATCATGGGATCGATTGTGAGCTCGATTGTGAGATCGATTGGGATCGCTTCGGAGACCGAATGTGAAAGCGACAATGGGATCGGTGGAGTGAGATCGATAGTGACATCGGTTATAGGATCGATCCTGCGATCGAGTGTGAAATCGGCTGTGGGAACGATAGCGCGATCCGTTGAGTGAGATCGATAGTGAGATCGGTTCTGAGATCGATCAATTGAGATCGGTAGTGACATCGACCGTGGGATCGTCCCAGTGGGCTGTCCTGGTCCCAGTCCTAGCGAACACTCATCGCAGTGCAACCATTCTGGCCAGTGCGATCACGACCCCGGCTACTGCGATCATTGTTACCGCAGCTGATTGGCCGTGAGGTCGATCCTGAAATCGATCGAGTGAGATCGATAGCGGGGCCGATAGTGACATCACATTGCGGCGCAACATCGTCATCATTCGTCGTCCCCAAGTCGAGGGCGCGCCACCAGCATCGCCATCATCACACCCATCGCAGTTGCCAGCAGTCGGTTCTTTCCCCTCCCCCCAACTTCCTTATCACCCAAAGGGTGGTCGTATAAGTACAGAACAAGTATTACTTACGTTTCGCGTATCCCCACCAGCTCAAGCAGCAACGATCGCCAGGCGAGTGGACGTGATCAGGAAAGTATAGGCGCATGTCGTGGAACAGCCGCTCCGGAGGATCCACGTTTGAGCGATATTGGTATAGTTGTAGAGCTTTCTTGGGGTTCTCTCGTGATTGTGGACAGCGAGGAGGAGGAGAAGGAGGAGGAGGATGTGAACAAGGAGGCGGACGAGGAGGACGACAAGGGCAAGAACGAGGATCATGACGAGGAAGATAAGGAGGAGGACGAGTACGGGGAGGACGACGACGAGGAGGAATGGGAGGAGAAGCGTGGCGACGTAAACGTAGATGCGGACGAGGACAATGATGAGGAACATGAAGACGAGGACTAGGAAGATGATTAAGAGGAAGACAACGAGGCTGAGACTTGGGTCTTCATGGGGCTCTTTTCAAGTGTCTTAGGTCCCTTGGTGAGCCCTCTGGTAGGGCGCCGATCAAAAAAGCGGGAGGTCCTGGATTCGCCTCCCTCCTCAGGAACGTTCTCGAGCGTTTCTTGGGGTACCCTTGGAGCGCTCTTGGGGCCGTCTTGGAAGCCTGTTCGGCCCATCCTGGTGCTCTCTTGGGCAATCCTGGGGCCATATTGAGGCCTCAGAAGCCCATGGGAAGCGAAAAGGCAAGCAGGAACAGCTCATAGATGTTCCTTTGGTTCTGAATGATGTTGGCCTCTCGTGGGGGTCCGTGGGGGGCTCCGAGAGCATTTGGAACCATCTTGTGGCTACATTGGGGCCTTTCGGAGGCATGATGGAGGCCATCTTGAACTATCTGCGCCTATCTTGAGCCAACCTGGAGGCATCATGGAGCATCGGAGGCTCTCTTTGAGCTATCTTAGGCGCTCTAACCGATCGGCCCCCCCCACGTCTGGACCCCTGGGATGGGGGAGGTGGATGGGTAAACCCTCCCCGAAGGAGAATAATGTTTTGGAAGAGGGAAAAGAAACATCGTTAGACCACTTCAGCCCAGAGGGCTGATGGGATTTATCCTTCCACGAACGAGAGGAAGAGAGCTTGGGAGACTTGGAACGCGAAGCCACTTACGCCCAGAGGGATTGTGGGATAGTGTGTTGCGCAAGATCCACTGCGCGGCTGCCTCCCACACCTTTTGTCGGCGAGCGCGCGGACGCCGAGAAGCGGTGGACGTTGTCGTTTAGCGGAAGCGCGAAATGACCTTCATGCAAGAGGGAACATTCAGCATAGGGGAACGGGTCCTGAGGGAAACGGGTCCTGGGCCCAGGACCACTTCTTCATCCTGAGTCGTCTTCTGACGGTCCCAGGGCCCGTGGAGGGCCACGGGAGCCCGAAAACATCAGAAAACTTCAGGACCCGTTCCCCTCAGGACCCGCTTCCCCCATGGCGAAACATCCCACACGTTGTTCCTCTGACGCGCCGGTGGCTCCAACCAACGCGCGCACGGTGCCCTGACGCGTGTACCACGACTTGGTTCCCACGTGAAGCAGGGCGGCGAGTCTGCACGGCTGGAGGCGGCGCGCGGGCGCCTCCAGGGCAAAAAGGTGGAGCCGTGCAGGGAGCACTGTCTCCCACGCGCGCGCCCGTCTCGACTGCTGTGTCGACCTTGGGTGCGCGAGTGGTTGCCAGAAGGCCGCATGGTCACTGGCAGGGGTCGAGCCAGGATGCCGAATACACGTGACGTGGCCGGCCTTGGCGAGAGTGGGATGCACACGTGGCCGCATGCCTGTCGAGTGCTTGGCCCTGCTGTGGCCGGGTAAACCTGTCTTCCGCATGTGTACCCAGCAAGTGCCCTCCGCATGTGTACCCAACCGCGTGCATTTCCAGCTCGGGGCACCCCGTGATGTTCGGACTTTCCAAGGGCTGTCCTTTTGGCCCACAGGAGAAGATGCTCTATTGCCCGATCCGCTGCCCCCAGGTACACTCTCAATGAGCCGAGGAGCTCTCCTCGCCCCCCCCCTCCCCCCCAAGATCTCAGGCCGGCGTGCGCGTGGCCAGTGTGGTGGACGCCGACGGCTCCTTCTGCGGGATGGTCACGCGGAAGGGCCTCATAGCGAGCTTGAGGTCTCCCTCGCTGCGAGCGGGCCTGAGGGGAGGGAGGAGCTCAGGAGAAAGAGAGTGAGGCATGAGGAGACGGTGAAGGACTAGACTACACCAAGGATGCATCAACGGTGTTGCGATGCACCCAGCGCAAGCATCTCGAACACAAATACACGTTTCAAGGAACCGCTCCTCGAGTGCCCGGTTGTGTCAAGGAGCCACCGTCCATCCGTGAAGTTGTTGCACCACAGTCAACATCCTGGTCATAGCATCTGAGGAAGTCTGAAGCGAGAGCCCTTGAACAGCATCCGGCCGCCATCCGTGTAGCTCTTACACACATCCAGCGTCAGGTCACAAGCTTCGAGGGTGCCTCAAGCGAGAACCCAAACCTGGAAATCAGCCCGCCCTTCACCTTGCGCAGCTGCTGGAAGCAGACTGCGCGCGGCGTGCAGGCGCGGCGGGCGCAGGACAGCGGCTCCCTCAGAGCTCACGTTCGGCGAGCGCGCTGGCCGGGGGGGCCCAACGGGACGGACGGTGGCCCTTGGCCCTTGCGGCAGTGCAGCTTCGACGGCGCACGGGTCTGGCCTGGCACATCTAGGGGAGGCTTGCCACGGCTGGCCACACTGCAGGCTGGGGAATATTGCTCCGAACGCCACACCGAGGCCCGAACAGCAACTGAACGACAGATGCATGCTGTTGCACCCAACCACCCCTCCGCAGTATAATCGTAGAATTGCCCAGCAAGTCCAAGGCTCTGTGTCTCCAAGTCCTTGTGGGGTCTCTGATATTATCGAACATTACAGATCATGTGTTCTAGCGGATCCACGAGGATTCCATGCCAGAAATATCAATCTTGACGATCGACAAGTTGGACCCACGTGACTCTCTTACAAAAGTACTGATGTCAAAGTGCATTCGTGCTTGTCCACGCAAGAATGACATGCTTGGTCAGGGGATGTACGTGGTGCAAGCTAGGTGGTATATGCCAACAACACTGCCTCGCCCGCCGCGCCAGGAACGCCACGTTCGGGGCACGTTCAGAGTGTGTCAGGTGCTCCTGCGCACGTGACAGCACACATCGGGAAACATGTCGGCCCCCACCATCCACGTCGAAAACCAATGCCCATCATTGTGTCTGGTGGGCTTGCGCACAGCAGGCCATACGCCACCACCTGACAGTGATCGCGGGGTGGCCGCGCATGATTCAGATGTAGCCGCGAGGTGCATGTTGTGTTGTTTGTTTTGTCAGGGATGGTAGCCCTGCGCGCAGCAGGCAATATGCTGACACCCCCGCCGAAAGTGTTCGCGGGCCTCACGAACATGACTCCAGACTTTGCCCCAAAGTGTACTTTGTATTGTTTTTTGACAGGGATGGTTGGGGGGGCGCATCGGGTTGGCCGCGCATGCTTCAAATGTGGAGACAGAGGGTATTTTTTTTTGTGACAGGGATGGTGGGTGGGGGGGGCCCTCATGGTGTCCTCATTGTTCCTAGTTGGCTGCCTGTCGCCTGGGAGAGGGGGTGTATATTTATAGGGAACAGTGATAAACCCCTCCCCCGAGCAGGGGGGGAAGGAGTCATATACGGAAGAAGACACACCTCGTTAAACCACCTACGCCCAGAGGGCTGGTGGGATTAGCTTGCTTTCGCCCTGGTTTGGACTGGTTTGCTTGAGACGTCCTCACAAGTCGCTTTGTCTGGCTGGCCCCAAGAAGCCTTTGCGAGGTTCGCGGAACTAAGCATCAGCGAATGTCTGTACGTCTTATGGTCGCCACGCGGTCTCAACACACAGTGGTATGTGTCACGTTTTCTTCGGCGTTGAAAGGTTACTTACTCGTCGTGGTGGGCGTGTACAAACCGAAGTGATGGCACGGCGTCGTGAATACCCACGGTGGTGCACATGTAACACGAGTGCGTTACAAAATGGCGGGCGGCATGGGTGTGGACATTCGTAACAGGCTGTGGATCGGCCTGGGCGTGTGTGGCGGCGTTCGGAGAAAACCTCTCCGAGGCCGTAGCCTGCGACCAGCTGCAAGCCAATGTTGGCCCGTGAACCTGCGGTAGGGGGAAAGTCACCCGAGCTTGTACTTGGGGCTCAGCTGGGTTTGTTAGGAAGAGGGGGAGGTGGCATGGGAGGACCAGCAGCAGCATGCAATATCGGGACAGGATGAAGAAGGGGAGACTGTCCCAACGAGGACAAAGAGGAGAAGCAACCTGAGGACTGCACTTTCCACACCGCGCGCGGGCCGACAAGGCGACCCCCGGACAACAACTTGGTCTTGGGGCGAAGGCCCCGCCGCCGCCTCAGCGGCCCCCCGCGGCCGCGTCGGCGTCGTCGTCGCCATCGCCCTGGCTTTCAGACTTGGGAACCCGCTGGAAGCCAGCAGCCCCGGCAGATGACGGGTCGGCGGGCCGCGCCGCGCCGTCGCGTGGGTCGGCACGGGACGACCGCAAGCTTCAGAGAGAGAGAGAGAGAGAGGCAGGCTCGTGTCGCGTCGACCCTGGCGCTGGTGCCTGACTCCGCGGGGACCGTTCAAGCCTGAACGGTCGGCCCTTCCCAAAAGGCCGGATCGTTCCAGGCTGTGCCGATTTGGGGCCACGGGTGGCGCTCAGCCTCACACGCGCGCGCTGGGGTCGCCGCCTGTCGACACGACGCGAACCTGCGGGGGGGGATCGGATGGGGCTGGAGGCTCCGAGAAGGCCGCGGCGCCCGATGCAGCCTCCAGAGCCGCCGGGTCTGGGAGATGCTCGATTCAACCTCACCCAGATGTATCCTCGTCTTGGTTTCGTCTCAGGGTTGTGCTTCATCTTCGCCGCGCCCCTGGACCTGATCAGAGGGCGCGGGGGCGGGGAGGCGAAGGCGATGCCCTTGCGGATGCCAGTCGCGCGCCCTCTACATTCCTCCTCCTCGCAGGAGGATCGAAGTGGGGACGGGCCCCCAAAAACAACACTGGTTCCTTTTTCATTCTGAACAGAAAACTACTCACTGCCGAGGTCTTCGCGGACGCTGCTCCTTTTTTAACGGGAACTGCCCGCCCAGCAGGCGGTCGCTGCCGGTTTGGAACGGCATCTGATGTTGGGATGTTTCCCCGCTGTTGCTGTATTGTTTCAAGCGTGAAAACCACTTCCACTTCATGATCCTCCTCTTGCGCCTCCCTCCTCCTCCTCTTCCACCCAGGTTCCTTATAGATCTCTCCTCCTCGTCTAACCACCAGACGTGTCGGTATGGTGGGCTGGGCGTGTCGCATGGGACCCCCCTGGCAACCCATGATCTTGAAGCTTGGAAGCCCCAACAGTGACAAAGGATGGAGGGCAGGTCGGTTTCAACATGAGGCTCCAGGCTTAGCGCCGAACACATTCATTTTAACACGTTGCAGCGTTTCTGAGGGCGGAGGGCGGCTGGTTATCAAACTAGGACCTCACATCAGCGCCACGCGCACTTGCTTTAACATCAAGAAACTTGTTTGAACATCCCCAGCAGACAGGGATGGATAGTGAGAGCTTTTCATAATGGACAGATCGCTTCGGCGCCGCGCACATTAGTGCTAAGAGCGTGCGGCAATTACGCGGATGGAGGTAGCTCGCAAAATGGGGGAATCACTTCAGCACCGCACACCTTCTCGCTAAAAGTATGCAAAAGGAGGAGGGGGAGGAGGAGGGGGAGGAGGAGGGGGACGAGGAAGAGGAGGAGGTCGAGGAGGAGGAGGAGGAGGAGGAGGAGGAGGAGGAGGAGGAGGAGGAGGAGGAGGAGTGTGGTTTCCAAGTGGGGCTCTCACCGTAGCGCCACGAAAACTCTAGACGCTTCGCGGAACCCCACCGGCCCATCCAGAAACGATGCCCAGGCGAGTTGCCTTGATGAGGGGTGTGGTGGAGCATGCAGTGGAACAAAGGGCTGGAGAAGCCGTCATACCCCAGGAGAGGATGGAGGAGGAATCGGCGGAGGAGGAGGGTGAGGGTGCGGGGAGGAGGGAGGAGGGACGAGGAGAAAAGGGGAGTATGAAGAGGAGAAGGAGTAGGAGGAGGACGACGAGGAGGGCTAGCAGACAGGCCAGATGTCTCTTGGATTCATTTCGAAGTCTCGTCGGATGCCCCTTGAGAGCTTATTTTGGGTCCGCTTGGGTGCCTTGGGGGAGCCTCTCGGGGGTCTCTTGGGAACCTCTTGGGGACCGCTCGGGGGCGTCTTGGGGCCTCCTGGGCGCCTCTTGGGGCCCTCTTGAGGCGCCTCTGGGCGCCTTGGGGGGCCATACTGGGGCTATCTTGGAGGCGATCAATCGAAGAAGGGGGGTCCTCAATTAGCCCCGCGCGTCTAGAGCCCTTGCCATCACCTCGTGTCCCTCTCTTCGAGCGCTCTTGGGGCGGTCTCGGGGCCCTTTGGGGCTCCTCGTGAGGCTGTCGTGGTCTGGGGGGCCTTTGGGGCTCCTCGTGAGGCTGTCGGGGCCCTTTGGGGCTCCTCCTCGGCGGCCTCGGATGGCAGTCGAAAGCGAGAAGGCGAGAAGGCAACCAACATTGATGTTCCCCAGGTGTTTGACGGAGTTTGGCGTTTGGGTGGCTTCTTTGGAAGGCTGTGTGGCCGCTTGGAACCGTCTTGGAACGGTCTCGGGGCCTCCTGGAGCATGTTGGAAGCCATCTTGAGCTGTCTTAGGCCATCAGTCATCGTGGAGGTCATGTTCGGCTCTCTGCGGTCCTCTTGGAGCCATCGTTGGCTATTCTGAACGCTCCAACGCCCCCATCCTCAACCCCCCCATCCTTACTTCCTATGGTTAAACACCCCCACATCCCCACCTAGCCAGCCGACAGCAACCCCGCCGTCACAACACACATTCATTTTTTGTCTCGCCAACATGTCGTCGAGTTGCGAAACTGCAGCAGGAATGGGATGGAATGAACATCGCTTGGGTAGCCCTAAGCGGGGGGTCGCGTCCTACCCATCAAGAAAGAATACAAGTGCAACGCTTTTCTTGTCAACATGGGCTTTCTTGTCGTCAGCGCTGCGGAATGTGTAGCAGGAGTGGGACCCGGCGCACATCGCGCGCGGACGCCTGGCCAACCCTACGCGGGACCCCCCGTCCTACTTGTCAAAAAACACCGCAACGTCGATGTGCTTTTTGCCAACGTGTAATTTCTCTTCGTCGGGGCGCACATCGCGCGTGGACGCCTGCTCATCATCATTGACTCTCTTGTCGACGCTGCGGCCCGTCGGGTTGAGGAGCTGGGCGGATGGCAAGTCAGAATGCCTCCAGCAAGTGCGGTTCATGCAACTGCCCCAGGAGACCCCCAAGAGGTCGAAAAAGGCGTCCAGGAGGTCCTGGGGAGGCAACGCAAATATTGATGTTCGTTTGGTGTTTGAAGGATTGTGAGGTTAGCACCTACGTGTGTTGACAATGTTCCAACCCGGAATATCTATTCAAGAGGCCCTCAGGCGTATGCCTGAAAATTCCCAGGACGCATCGCGAATTCCCACGAGGCAATATGTTTTTCCTCCTGAATTTCTCCCTCCCTCTCTCCCACCCCTCCTCCTCCTCCTCCTCCTCCTCCTTCTCCTCCTCCTCCCCCTCCTCCATGCGCGGCAGGGGCGAAACGATTGGCGGTGCAACCCGCGTGGCTGGAATGAGCCGCGGCGCACTTCGCGCGCTGGACATGTTGTCGCCGACGATGCAACATGAGCGGCCCGAACGGGGCGCGGCGTACATCGCGCGCGGTTTTGTTTCTCGTCGACGTTGCTCAATACGCGGCAGGAATAGGACGCAGCTCATGTCGCGCGCTGAACGTTTAGCCGCCCACGGTATAAGATGAGCGACAGGCGGCGGGCGCGACGCACTTGCTTCTTATGTTGTGGGAGGGCGGGTGGGAGTGGACGGAGCCCTCTGGCTCGTTCCAGCTGGCTAACTTGACCCCGCCCCACCCCACCCCACCCCACCCCCCCTCCAGGCCCATGGGAGGGGGAAGCGGGGGAGGTAAACTCCTCCCCGAAGGGGAAGAAGGGGGGGTTGGAAGAGGAAACGCGCTAAACCACGCACGTCCCAAAGGGCTGGCGCGATCCCTTGTTATTCTTTCCGGCAGCGACAAGGTTGGAGGGCGGTTCCTTGGCAAAGTGGAGCTCTCGCTGCAGCGCAGGACCCATTCTTCGAAGTTACCGCTACAGCTACTACGAGGGCGGCCTCTCGCCATAATGTGAATATCGCCTCAGCGCCGCGCGCGTCCGTCCTAAAGCAGAGATCAAGCTACAGGGGTGGAGGGCTGCTCCTTTCTGAGCTGGGGCTCTCGCTTGAGGCGCCCTTGAAGTCCATGAACAAATGTGTAATATTGCGCCACATGTACACACACGGAGGTGGCCTTGTATGAAATGGTGGCCGAGCTGGACACCTCGTTCAACTGTATGATCATACCGCTTCGTCGCCGCTACTATCCAACAGAAGGGTTGCAAAGACGTTCGTTTTCAAAGTGGTGCCCTCGCCTGCACGGCCGGCACAAACAGTGAATGATGGTGCAGGTGTGTTTCTTGTACTGACACGATAGGTTTCCAGGGACGCATGAAGGGGTAATTGAGGCGGGACGGTGGATTGCAGCATCGTTGATGCATTGTTGGTTTGTTCTGATCCTCCTCATCCTCTTTGCCCACGGATCGTAGGACGCGGGCCGAGGGAACTTAGCGGAGGAAACGCATCCCTTGGTCGCCCAGGCCGCCCCCAGATTTACGGGGAGCGACGACGGTAACGCCTTGGGAGGGACCTGAGGGACCCGAACCCCGTCCAAAGCCTCAGTGGTCCTCGTTCCAACGCTGTCACAGCAGCCAGATGGATTCTTACGTCAACGGCGCCCGCGGGGGCTATTGGAGAGCCCTCAGCAGCTATCAGATTTTCTCGTTCAACATGTCGACGGGCTCCCGTGGACAGACACATGATAGCGCCAAGACGCGTCTTCCAGGGCCAACGACGACCATCCTCTGCACCCTCCTCCTACCCCTCCGACGCCTCAACTTGTTTGCGTCGTCGGCTCCTTGAGCTAGCGTCGATACACGTCCCCCAGGGCCAGCGATCATCCTATGCACCCTCCTCCTCCCCCTCCGAAGCCTCAACTTTTTCAAGTCGTCGGCGCCTCGACCTCTCGCCCCCCTTCCCCGTGGTGTGCTTGCTCGCTATGGTTATCTGTTCGACATGGAGAATTGCAGCAAAACGTGCATTCAGAAATGCGTTGGTTTCTGAGTTGCTAAAAAATATGGGCCCTCCTCCTCGCCTCGTCGCCTTTCTCTTATGAAGCCATGCTGCTCCCTCAGATGCAGCCCTGGGGCTTTCTGGGAGCCGCCTTCGGACCCCAAGACAGTCAAAGAACGACCCAGAGGAAAGCGACCTGGTCCCAGGAGCACGCGTCGAGACTTCCGAGAGCCCACGGATTGAAGAAATCACGACGTTGGAAATCTGGGGAGCGCCACACGGATTTGTTATTCCCCGACGAATGCGCTCTAGAACTGTGCGTTGCCATGGCCGCATCTGGCGCTACCCCCTCCCCTCCTTTTCCCTATCCCGCCGTTTGCCCATCCCGACTGAGAAGACATCTCGCGGGGGACATACAGAGAAAGGGAGGGAGGGAGGGAGGCTGGGTGGGATTGGGACGGGCTTAATGCACTTTGAGGAGCCCGTGGTTCCGAGAAAACCGCTACCGTAGGTAAGGATCTGGAGGGGAGTGGCCTCATTGTTGTCAGTTCCTTCGCCTGAGACGACCCGAGCTCTCGGCGTCACGCCTTTCAGGGCCCTGGCCTGAGTGAATTCGGTCCCGGACTGCCCCGTTCCCACCCATGCTTAGTTGCCTTGGCACGCACGTTTTGAAACGCAACACGTGCCGTGTTCAAAACGTCCGTGTCAACACGCTAAGTGTTGCGCGATGGGTATTGGGGCAGCTAGGCACCCATGGGGTCACTGTACGATTGAATGACGAATGGCAAATCACTACGAACCATCGGGCATTTTGGACAAAAAGCGGCATGATATCCCGGGCCTTTCCAGCCCTTTTCTGAGCCCAGTATCGGAGGTCTGCGTTGTTGCGCTTCAAACTCGTTGTCCGTCTGCTTCCCCTCCTCCTCCTCCTCCTCCGTAGGGTGGTGGTGGCGGGCGTGGTTCTGCGAGCCTCCCGCTCGAGAGGCGTTCCTGGCCTCGGTGGGTCGCCAGGGTTGAGGTCGAGGCCTCCAGCTTGAAGTCGGGCGTGCCCCTCTACAGGAGGAGCATTCAAAATATTCAGAAAATAGTCTGGGGACGATGTTTCTACCATTTTTGTTGCTGTTTGAGAATTATGTAACTATGTTTAATTCTTCGCCCAAAATCCGCTCGTAGGAGGACACGCCCGACCTGATTCCAGGTCACCCGCAGGTGCGCGAAGGTATTGGCGATTGGCGGTCTGGGCCAGACACAGTGCCCTTCGCCAGGGGGCGGCGCGAGAGCGCGAAGGTGGTCGCGCCCCTCGCGCTCTCCGCGAGGTTCCGAGCGCCAAAAAAAACGTCTGCCGACCCCCTCCCGGCAGCAAGCTTCTCATCCACGGCCGGGCCCAACGCGTCACCCTGTCGGCTCCTGCCTCGAAAGCCGCTCCTCTGCGGCGACCCAGGTCCTCCTCCTCCACCTCCTCCTCCTCTTCCTCCTCTTCCTTCTCCTTCCTCCTCCTATTCCTCATCCCCCTCCTCCTCCTCCTTCTCCTCCTCCTCCACCTCCTCCTCCTCCTCCTCCGCCTCGCCGCCAGGGGGCCGGGCCCACGCGCAGATCTGCCGCCGCCGCGCCGCAGATCCGCGCCGCGGCCGCGCTGCCGCGCCGCGCCGCGCCGCCGTTCAGGTCCGCTGCCGCGCCGCCGCGCCGCGATTCTCATCCCGAGTTGTTTTCGGACCGTCCCAGGGCCCGGCAACGACAGTCCATGGCGCACCTTGTCCTGTGCAAGATCTTCGGCACCGCCTGTTTTCTGAGCCCTCCGGCCGCCTGAGGCCTCGCCCGCCCGCGCCCTGTCTCCCCAATTAGGGCCACCCGCGTCCCGTTTATAGCTCTTGACCGGAAGGGGCCCGCTCCCGACCCGCAGGCCAAAAAGGGCCCGGCAACGACCCCCGGAGGCCGAAGACGACGAAAAGCGGCCGTCGTGATTTTGCCAAGACGCTTGAGGCCCGGGGTCGAGATCGAGGCCTCCGGCCTGTGACCTAGGTCACCCGCGGGGGCGCGAAGGCAATCGCTCGTCGCGGTCTGGGCCAGGGCAGCTGCCTTTGTCCAAGGGGGCGGCGCGAGGGCGCGAAGATAGCAGGAGGAAAAGAAACACACAGACACAATTAATCCTCGATTCCCCAAAAAGATGGAAAATATGGGAAGTGGGGGGGACGACAGAAACCCAGAAAATACGGGAAAATATGGGGCATATTTTTATTTGTGTGTATTTCTTTGTGTGTCCCAGGGCCCCTTCAGATAATCGCGCATCGCGGGGCGCGATGCGCGAAGCCTGGCGACCCGGGTGGCGGGAGCGCGCAGTCGTCGAGGCCTCGGCCTGCAGCGTGGCAGCGTCGGGGCCGCGCCGCCCGAGCTCTGCCGCCGCCCCCCTGCCGGAGGACCGCGGTGCCCGAGGAATCGAGCGACCACGGCTCAGAGGACGACTCCGACGGCGCAGAGACGATGTCGCTGCTGCAGGTGTCAGGGTCACCCAAGCGGCGTGGTGGCCACACCGTGTGGTGAGTCAGGGGGGCTTCGGGGTCACCGCACGGTTTTGGGACCCGAGGGTCTCGGGCAACTGGACCTCCAGAGTCCCAAAGCCGCGCGGTGACGGACCGTGCGGTGAGGTCTTGGCAGATTTCGAAATCACCGCGCGGTCTGTCACCAGGGACAGTGGATGTGGGCTCTGGCGCACATCTTCGGCAGGCATCGGTCCTCTTCAGCATGCCGGTGCCAGCTGGCGCTCTGGGGGGGAAGCGCGCCGATCCATTTGGTATTAATCTGGCCCGATCCGCCCGAGTTCGGCTCAATCTGGCACAATCCAGTTGGTAATTAACATCCCCCTAAGAAAGCAGGGAGCGTCTCAGAAACCCTCCTGCCTCGAAGGGGCCTGAATGAGGCCGTGACAAGTTCCTTCCTCTAGCCTTGCAAGTCTCACACACCCATAGTCTACGAAACAACGTACCCCTCCCCATGCTAGAAAAAAGAAAACAGCATGCGCTTTTGCGGAGTCTGGTGCCCGAGTGCAGCAGCTCGATCGGGATTCCATCTTGCATCACAAGAATTATTACGGATCGCCTCCCGTTCTAGGGACGGAAATTTCTTCGAATTAGCCTGCGATTCCGCGATATCGAAACACACACGAGCCCATCCTCACTCGATCTTGTCGACGATACTACACTCCAGGAAGCGGACCATCTGTCCACGAAAAATGGGAATGACCCACGAAGTTTAGAAGGATGTTCAAACCTGGCCTGGCACACTCATCAAGGTGTGAGCAACGCTTTCATTTCTACACCTGCCACGTGGAAGCTTACCGGATACTCGGGCGCACCGAAGGAGTCACAGGCGGATAGCTTCGACAAGTACCGCGGGCTGTCGAAAGTGGACTGCATGATGAAATGGTACCTTAGATCTGTCATAAGATGTATCCGACCGAGTCTTCGAAGACTCCTGTTTGAAGTTATGGTTACAAACGTGCCATGCACTGACATTGGCGATGTTGAGACAGTTGTTCCTCCTCTCTTCTCGATGGAGAGTTGCTCTTGTCGTAGCTGCGCTCGATGTTGGCATAACGTTTAGCTCTGTAGACCGCGAGTTGCTAACCTCTTCGCTTCTCAAGGCAGGAATGCACCCAGAGCACGTGTGCTGGCTCGTCCGCGAACTCATTGGTCTTTGGGCTAGACTGGAAGTGCCGATGGCTGCGCATGCCAGGTGGTTTCCATTTGCAACGCGTGGGAATAAGGTTGATGTCGAAACGACAGACGAATTCAACGTGTTCCTCGAGTCCGTCTTGACCCCAGTCGTCGTTAGCTGGACCCGCCGGGTGTTTGGCTTCGAGGTTGGCGATGGCACTCGCGTGACGCTGGGCCGACAACGTGTTTATCATCCCGCGCACTAAAACAACAGTTTGAACTCGTGTGCCAAGAACTGACAGACGCCATTGATCTACAAGTTGAGATGGAAACCTTCGTCTCTTCAATTCCTTCATTCTGGGGCGGAACCGCTTGACCCTTCGTCAGTGTGGTTGCGGTTGCCTGAAGCCACCATTTTGGAGGCACGGCGTGTGTTAGAGATGGACACAGTGAGGACACGATTGAATTCGATTTGATCCTCCATGGCTAGTTTTTGGTATTGGGCACGCAAAACCGAATGATGTTGTTGGGCGAATTAGTCTGCACTTCTGACCGCTGGAGGGGTCGCTGAGAGACTGAAAGCGTGGAGGAGCAGCCCCGGGACTTTTGCCGCATTGGGGGCTGGAAGTTGGCGTATTGTTTCTACTGTGTGATGAGCTGCTAAGCAATCGGAATTACAATGGCTCCAGAATGCGTTACGTTTGGAACGTTGACGAGGAGAAGGGCAGCTCGATTACAACAGCCCGACGAGCGTGCTAATTCAGGCATGGGTTCAGAAGGCAAGCGCTGCGTTCCTTCATCACCGCGCCAGGGTGTATTCAAAGAGGCGTGGAGGTAATATGTACTACGCTCATGTGGAACAACAAGCACATCGTCAATGCGCGACGATATCGATACCCATTGTGGTGGAGCACCGTCGAAGGCATTCAAAGTTCGTGGCGTCCAGGAGCAGGCTGCGCTCATACAAAGCACTAAGGAAGACACCCAGAATGCGAAACTGCGTTTGTAACTGTACCTATACGACCACCCTTCGGGTGATAAGGAGGTGAGGGGGGAGGAGGAACCAACATGTCATTTTATACATCTCGCGATCGATCCCACTATCGATCTCACTATCGATATCACTCGATCGATCCCACTATCGATCTCACTATCGGTGTCACACACCGTCTCACAACCGATCTCATTATCGATCTGATTCAGTCGATCTCACTATCGGTATCACTATCGATCTCACATTCCGTTTCACTATCGATCTCACAATCGATCGCACATTCGGTCTCACAGTCGATCTCAATCGATATTACAATCGAAAACGCAATCGATATCACAATCGATCTCACATTCGGTCTCTCTTTCGATCTCACTATCCATCTCACTATCGACCATGATGAGCAACCATGATGAGTAACCGGCGGGACAATGATGAGCAACCATGATGAGCAACCGGCGGGACAGTGATGAGCAACCATGATGAGCAACCATGATGAGCAACCATGACGAGCAACCGGCGGGCAACCGACGGGACAATGCGGGCCACCGTTTGGCAACACTGGGGGGGAAACATTTGTCTTGGCGGACTCTTAGCGACAGCAGAGTGAATTCCTCTCGTCCGCCCACGCACCTTCGCCTCGCCCGCACGCACGACACGAACACGAAACCGAAACCGATTTCCCGGTGGGGGGCTCTCCGTTCCACTTCGATCTCACCCCCTCACCTCCGATTTGTTTTTTTGCAAACCTGATGCGGCGAGCTGCAAGATGGATGAGCTGATTCAGAAATTGCCAACTTTTTTGAATTCTGCATGCGAGAAGCGGGTCCTCCGATTGCTACTTGAGCGCCAACCAATGGCAGGGGACCCGTTTCACAGGCTGGCGAAACGCCGACGCAGCGTTACGACGGATGTGTCACATTTGCCTGATTATCTTGGCCCGGCGCGGGAGGAGGCACAGCATAATTGGCGCAACTGTCAAAATCATGCTCCTTTCATCGTGAATTGCCAGCCGCTGTGTAACACTACTTGGCTCCAACAAAAGTTGCTTGGGAAAGTCTTACGGGGAAGTATGCACAAGTGCACCCAATGACCGCATGACCTCATTGCCCCAAAGTGGTATCACTCGGGCCCCAGGCCACCGACGATGACTTCCAAGTGAAACTGGGATGACCCCATGGCCCAACATGACCCCGACAGGGCATCTTGAGAGTCGCAGGCTGCCTATGCGATGGACCCGTCTGATGAGCAGCGGGCGATGCCGAGACGGCCCCAAGGCCAGAAGATGGACCCCAGCACATCAAGGGCGACTCCAAACTGACCGAGCGACGCTCGCACAATCCAAGCATGACGCGAGTGCGATATGACAAAGACCAGACGACAATTCCAAGATGCATTCACTATCATTCGCAAGTCGACGCAATGGGCGGCCCCGCGACCTGCATATTATGTGAAGCTGATATCCAGATGACCGAACATGGCTTCTAGAGGCCCTGGCGAGGGGCCCGCGGGGACAGGACGGCGCGCGCATCGCCAGAAGATGGCATCAAGACGGCCCACGGCAGCTTGAGTCCGTGAACTTATGAACCCCAGCTTGCGTCCAGCCGATCCCAACACGGCGGGATCCCTCAAGGGCCAGGGCCGTTGGTTTACCTTATTTTTGAACGGGTGGGATCTTGACCCGGCTGAGCCAAACTAAGAAGATTGAGAGGGACTGAGCTCGGCTGGATTCCGCCCGACCCTGGAAGGTCTACGGGGGCACGGGGTTCGGAAGGCGTACTGATACCACCGCCGGCTTCCGCCGTCCTCGCAGCACTTCTGCCGTCTTTCGCGCGGCGAGCTCCATCATAGAATTCGAGGAACTTATCGGGCCCATGTATGCGCGGGAATTCGCCACTCGAGAGACCTGATGTAGACACGGCGTGCTATAGCATCACGGAAAATTGAAGGCTTCGTCATTGTTTGGATGGGCGCCGCCGCGCCGCTGGGAAAAAACACCGGCTTGCAAGCCCCATGGATACAAGAGGAAAATGGATTACCTTGCCAATGCCACCATGGATTTAGAGCCATCTTGGAGACGCCAGCTCCAGGATACCACGGCCGACGATTGCAACATCATTTGCCCTTCTGACGGTGGCACGCGGATTTGCACGACTTGGCACCCCAGATCACAGATATAATATTGCTTCGATTCCTGTTCAAATTTGCTGCTCCAAGCACGGTGGCGAAGCCCGGAAAGGGAGCGGAGTATAAGAAAGATTGGCATTGCCCAGCCCACAGTTCGTGGTTCCACCGCACGATTAAGTCGGGCATGTCCCTCTACAGGAGGAATATCCAGAAATAGTAAAAACAGTCTGTGGACGATGTTTTCACTATTTTTGACTATTTCTGAATATTGTGGACCGTTTTTCATTTTTCGTCCAAAATCCGCCTGTAGGGGGACACGCCCAACCTAACCGTGCGATCGGTGTGACAGCGCCGCACCAACACGGCTCCGTCTTCTTCGAAAGCCAGCGCGGCCAGGGGCGACGTGTTGTTGCTACCCGAGGGCCGCAGGCCTCTGCCACTGGCAAAACAACGCATGGTCTGCAGCTCCACAGCGCTGACCCCGTGGTCTTCGGCCCCTTAATTTTAAGTCGGGCCTGTCCCTCTACGGGAGGAATATTCAAAAATACTCACAACATAGTTCTGGGACGATTTTTGTTGTTGTTGTGAAGGCCTGACGGCCAGTGCCGCCGACCCTGAAAGACATCGACGACGACCAGGAGGGGAAGGAGGAGAAGGAGGAGGAGGAGTAGGAGGAGGCGGAGAGAAGGAGGAGGAGAAGGAGGAGGAAAAGGATTCCCCCCTGG